CTAAACTATTTCGTCCCTTATGTTTATAATAGTCAATTCTTCTAATACCCTGCGGGTTGGGTCCTAAGAATATGTGGCACCGATCATCATTGTTGAAAATCACCCAACTCCCAGGTTCAAGATTACAAAACCCATATGAAACTGAGGTATGCGAGAAACCTATCTCATATTAGGTGAAATTAGTGGTTCGTAGCCTCACATCACACAACAATCTGCAAGCTTGTCCATCGTACTCCAATCACGTTCAAAGGGCAACAAAGATGATCGAGTTTACGGATTCTCAGGATAGCACAGACGAAAAAAGAAATGCCTTCAAATTGGCCGGTCTTTGTATTATATCTTAGCTATGGTCTCGCTGCATCCACATGGCGTACACCGGGACCCGTATTAGCATACTGCCTGCTTGGTACTTTGATTACTATTTTGGCCTTCTGCTTGAGGCCATAGACATCCCATCTCTCTAACCCTAAATCGGGCAGCAAGCAACCTCATAGAATCTCATAGCGTCCTGATGGATTACTGGGTTAATGGCGCTCATACCTCGAACTCCAGTGACAATTCTATGCCCGTTTCCTTGTCGTGATGCACGAGAGGGCTGTTGGATGTTTTTGAGGTATCGTTCTCGTCAATGGATGGAGCTGGGTTAGCAGATTTGGCTGCAAAGGTTGGAGCACTCTCAGTGACCAACAAGATTGGATGACCGGGAGCACCTTCGGTCTCGGCTTCCATGTCCCGTGAAGGAGTTTTGAGTCTCTGTTCGGAGTGTGCACTGTAGACTTCACTTCCTGGGAAATGTGAGGCGGTAGCAGGGCTACTTTCGTCTGCCAGTACCTGGCTAAACTGGGGAGGTGAAGCCATGATCTCCGCATCAACTTCAGGGCTCTTGTGATCAGTACCAGAGTCGTGGTCTTGGTCTTGGCCATGGTTTTGGCTGTGGTCTTCCTCTGGCTTCTGGCCATGAACCCCTAACTCTGAAGCAACAGTGGAATCTGGCGGCGAAGCCATCACTTCATCTTCGTCTTCGAAAGCTCTTGGTCCAGCGTCAGAATCGTTCTCCGTAGAATTCTTTGAAGACTCGGGGTTTTCGACAGGAGGCCACAGCAGTCCCAGGATTTCAGCATTGATTTCTCGACAGTAGTCGATGTCGTGGCGCAGACGTCGTCCAATGGGCTTTCCTCTGGCCTGCAGACCGTTAGTACCTTGCCTCTACTGATTGTGATAATGGGAATTGACATACTGGTGGAGTATACTGGAAGTAGGCTCTTGGCTGGGTATTAGCTAGAGTCACACGATCTTGCCAGTCAATGCCGGTCTTCTTCTTGAAGAAATCCATGAAGAGATCCATCTCCTGTCGCCATGGTCCCTCGTGAGGACTAGGGCGGTGATAGGATGGCTGAGTGCTGCCTTTCTTCTTGAGAAAGCGGGCCGCGAACAAATAGAGGTGAGGCTTGGCATTAGACTCCCACAACTGGTTGAGGTTGTTAATATAGAATCATGAGTTACGAACGAGACGATGCTACTTACGTAGAGGGTGTATTTCTGGCCGACTTCACCAGTCATTTCGTCATCTCGAGTGATGTGAATCTCATAAACAAAATTGAGACGATCTCGATAGAGATGGTAGAAGTCTGCTGGAGTATTAGCCTTGATTTGATATGACCGAGTAAGGAACTCGTACTTGTGTTGACAAATTTCTTGCCTTGTTGAATACCCTTCTCCCAGCGTTCTTTCTCTCTTCTCCTGGCGTTCAGTTTCGCCTGAAGGCTTCTCATGGAATAGTCCTTCTCAGGAAGTCTCTTATTCTGGACCGTAGAGAATTCATACCAATCACAGTGAATGATTGGAAAGTTCTTGTGACGCTTCAAAGCCTGCTTGACTGTTGAATAGTGAGCAAGTGCAAATAGATCAATGCGAAGAATACCACTTACTTCTGGGGACTTTGTTGTCCCATTGCTCTCTAGTGCAAAGAAGATGAGTGACAGTCTCGTCAAAATCGTCAAGGAAGATGCCTTTTCGTAGAGAAGTCCACCGTTTTAGATTATCGACAGTGAACTGGCCAGGAAGAGGTCCCGCAGCTGCGAAGACCCTTCCTTTGAAGATCTGACTGGGCATCTGGGCGAGTTTAATATCTCTCTGAATGCCAATGTAACAGTAGGAGCGGTGATATTATCATGCAAAGTGCATTCTTGTGTGAGCATTAGGAAAAGTCCGACGATACTGGAAGTATAAAACAAAATACGGCTGTGTTGCAAAGAGACGAAACTGTGGATGATATGGCGAAAGAAGATGAAATTCAAAGTTGAAAAGGAACGGAATGTTGGGTTGAAAACTTTGAATCTGATCAGAGGTCAAGTACTGAAGAGATGAGGGAGTCTAAAAGTTGGAAGAAAGGGGGAAGTGATCAGAAGATGGGACGAAGAGGAGAAGATATGAACAGAACTGCTGCCTGCATATGCAGCTTAAATACTGAGGCAGATATATAGTTTCAAATTTTCTCCTCTGGTCATCGGTATTACGGTGCTCGTTCACTTTGCGGTTGGGTCGGCTTACTGGAGTGGTCCTGATATTGACAATTGATTGAACCTTTCCGACACTATCTCCTTGATGCGCCGTCTGTGCACAACCCGCACCTTTATTGTCTAATCATAAGTACTTAGATTTCTTAGTAAAATCTTAGTAAATCTTAGGAAATCAAGTATCTGTTTTCATCTTTAGGCTTCTGCTTAGCTAGGTGGGTGATTGGAGGTGCGGGATGTGCAC